TTAAAGAAACTGTGCACTTCACAAATGATTAAGAAATAATTCTGAGTGCAGGTAAATTAATAGATCGGTTTACAGATTACAAATATTCATATTTTGCCGTACTTTGCTTACTATTATAAAACATTTAAGCTAACAAACAAACAAATTCAAGATGCTAGCTCACGGCGCAAAACTTACTCTGCCCAAGAATGTATTTCATCCGCTACTTACTGCACCAAATTGAGGATGCATTTCACAAAACAACACACGGCCTTGTTGTTCGGACAGAGAAAGAACGCTTGAGTGGTGATGATCTCCTGGTAGGAAGGTATGAGTTAGCTCTGCACAAATTCTTAGGTAATATTGCTGTATGCATTGTAATTAATAGATACGTTACTAATATTCCGCTTAATTTGTTTTCTACGTGATCTCTAAAACTATTATAAAATATTTAAGCTAACACACTGGGTTTCTTAGTGAACCAAATCTTAATCTAAGGAGCTGGCTCACGGCGCAAAACTTACTCTGCGCAAGAATGTGTTGCATCCAAATAGGGGATGGATTTCACATAACAACACACGGCCTTCTTGTTTGGACAGAGAAAGAACGCTTGTGTGGTGATGAACTCCTGGTAGGAAGTTACGAGTTATAATTATGTGTCCTGCTTTAATTGAAAAAGAATAAAGGATTGTAATCAAGATACAAATTCATTAAGTTTAGAACAAATATTAAGAGTATATTGCTATACTTTTCGGTTGTAATTTCAATTTTTACCGTTACTTCATCTAGATAAAAACATTTAACATCCCAATACCTAATGATTATATACTAACATTCCCTAAACTATACAGAAAACATTAGTAAAAAAAATTAAAAAATTGGTACTTTAATTTCCTAATAAAATACTTACATACCTACTTGCGGATCACATACAAAAACCGCTTTAAACATTTAATACCAATAGGTTCACTACTTGTAAAACCTTGGCATAGAAAACGAACGCAAATAAAATTCATATAACACTGCGCTGTCTGGAGAAACTTTTAAAAGCACACTTAATAAAATATTTACTATAAATATATAGACATATCTATAGATAAGATAGTAGGCCAAAACCTCCTTTCTAAGGAGAGGCCTATGTCCAGCAGTAGACTACTAAAGATTGTTGATGTGATGATGTGATAGATAAGAAATCAATGTATTTAGAAATATACAACAAAATAGTTACCATAGCACGGGCTCTCCCTAGTTTAGGATCAGACGGCCGTGTGTGATGTGTGCGGTTATTGTTATTATTATTTCATTATCATCGCAGATATGCACACGTAATTAAACTTAGTTTAGTTAAACCAACTACAAACTAACCCCGCTCAGCTAAAGTTATCTGTCCTCGTTGTGGGTGTGTCACACCATTAAACTTGAATCGAGCGGTGTTCGAGTTTCGCTTATGCTGCTGGCATTTCCTTTGTTTTCACCTACTACTAATTTATATGGAACTGCCTCTATTTATTGAACTTCGAACACCATATTATAATAATAGCGGTACTGGTTATATCTATACTAATATTATAAAGCTGAAGAGTTTGTTTGTTTGTTTGAACGCGCTAATCTCAGGAACTACTGGTCCGATTTAAAAAAATCTTTCAGTGTTAGGTAGCCCATTTATCGAGGAAGGCTATAGGCTATATATCATCACGTTAAGATCAATAGGAGCGGAGCACCAATGAAGAATGTTTCAAAAACGGAGAAAATTTATTACTATTGAGAGACGCAGACGAAGTTGCGCGGGTCAGCTAGTCTCGGATAAAGAGGAATGAGGCACGTTTCGCACGACCAATTTTATCTTTGTGTACCTTTGTATAGTGTAGAAATTGATTGAATGTTTCTACTTAAATAGTTTTTATCAAAAAAATCTTAGATCAATCAATATTCACCTCCTGATATTCACCATACCTACTTCATCCCAGCTACTAGCTGGCCCAAAATATTAAATTACAGATTATAAGTAGATATGTTTCTTTTAATAAGTATACCGGGTATTATAAAAGTACCGGCACAGCAGAATAATTTGCTAGGTATGCATTAGTCGGAAATACGTTAAACACAAGAGTTACAGTAATTTTCCCTGGCTATCCATTAGTGACCTTAAAATTGACCTTGATCGCAACCTTGAAAGTTATCTCAAGGGTCAAGGGCAATTTTCAAATGGGATTGCATATTTTTGAAAAGAGAGGAAAAAATTACAATCGGATATAAACTTCAGTGCGAAAATGTTGACCTCTAAAGGTTACCAATCCAAGGTCAACCTCAAAAAACCAAAGGAAATTGATTATTCTCTTCAGCCAAGAGAAAAGCTATAAGGGTTTTAAAAAAAAGTCTAGTCTTTAATGATAATTATTTAGTCATTAAAGACTAAAAGAGTAGCAAGTTAATTGGAAAGCAAGAAAATATTTATTATAGCAAAACATAAAGATATAGGCAACCTAAACAATTTTGCAGCTTGAGTTATAGCCAGTGCCTGATACGGATCCAATTCAGTGTTCTGTTAAACGAAAGCCTGACGAATATGAATATAGCATCTATTCCGCTGGACTAAATTCTCCTACTACTTGACGGCTTGTCAGTCCAGACATCGATAACCGTACCCACACCATACCATACAATAAGACAATGACAAATTAAATAAAAAGCACATAAATAAAGGCTTACATTAATTTTTGTTCGCGACATAGTTAATCCGAATAAAACTAGTGCTTCAGCGTTTAACAGCCGACTGTGAAATCTAATAGTAAAGTTGAGATGCAGTGTTTCACAAGTTATAATGTATGTTCTGAGTTGGGCACAGAGCCACGAGCTCATAAAATGTGTATAATTTGTGAATGCAGGGGAACAGAAACAAATTTAATTAATGTTAAATTGCAAATGTTAAATTATAAATGTACTATAAGGGAAGATGTCTAGCTTATAAATACTTAATTTGTTTTTGTGTACCTAAACTGTTTGGGTGTTAGTGCTTTATTATAACGTTCTTCTCAAGTTATGATTAATATTCGTTTAACCATAATTTGTTAACATACTTGTTAGTACAGTGGTGGTACAGTGGTAGTGGTCGACATAGCCCAACGGATTAGCGCGCTGAAGTGGCAATGGGCAGGGCACATAGCAAGGAGAACTGACGGCCGATGGGGCAGCAAGGTTCTCCAATGGAGACCACGTACTGGAAAGCGCAGTGTGGGACGACCGCTTACCCGATGGACGGACGACCTGGTAAAGGTTGCCGGAAACCGTTGGATGCAGGCCGCAATCAACCGTCCCCTCTGGAAATCATTGGGAGAGGCCTATGTCCAGCAGTGGACAAGCATAGGCTGAGGTGATGATGATGATGATGACTTGTTAGTATCTTTCAATAACATCTCTAGGTCTTTCAACTGTCTAATATAAAGCCGTTAGACGTTTAGACAAAGTTTCAAACTGAGTAAAAGCTGAGAACACGGGCCTTGTGGTCAATTGGTTGTAGATTCTAACTAACCCTCCCCCTACTCGTCTTACTCCATCGTACTACCGATATAAAATTATTACAAACATTAGCATTTCAGCTTTAGTAGATGTATTAAAAATTATATTGGTAATGTATTAATAACTTTCTGGTGGTTTTGTTTCCACGGCCTACTCAAGTGTTTTGCTGGCGGTAGTGTCGTGTTCCGTGTTGTTGATCCTGACTATATCGGTGGCTGGGGCCCGTATGCCGTCTGTATGGACGAGCCGACTCAAAACTATGGTCCTTTCCTCAAAAGACCAACCCAGACCCTATACTGCACTCACATCTCTTTAACATTGTACACGGACTTTAAAAAAAATGACACGTCTGTGGTTTGTTTCCGCGTTTCATCTCAGAGTGAATCTTAAGAAATGCCGGCGCCTTCTAGCTGTAAAGTCCGACTTGTAAAAATATCTGAAAAGATTTACTTGCAGAAATAAATATCATCATCATCATGATTCGTTAAAATAAACGATGCATTATCTTAGACTTAATGACCACCTATGTCCGCCTGGCCCTCGAGACTCCGTCGTATCCATCGTACCCCTTTATTCATTCTACTAGCCATTCCAAGCCAAAGTTTCGGACGCAAATGGTATACAATTCTCATATACTAGTACCAGCTTCTTCCTCTGGACCGCTTTCTAATTTCTCCATCTGAGACTTACCCATACAATAAGTCTGTCCCTAATCTGCACGGATGGCGTAGTGGTTTAAGCGGTCGCCACGCCGCTTTCTATTGCGCCGAGTGTTGTGGGTTCAAACCCACATGGGATAACACTTTGTGTGATCCACAAATTGTTGTTCTGAGTGTGGGTGTACTTTGTGTCCGTTTCATGTATGTTTGTAGAGTCCCCCGCGACACAGGATTTATTCCTAGTGCGGGAGTTATCTTTTTTTAAATATAAAATATAATATATAAATATTATCTGTTTTGGTACATTATCAACAGCCTTTAGTAGGCCACTGCTGGACATGAGCCTCTCCTTAGAAAGGAGGTATAGGCCTATTATACAACGCTGACCAGAGAGTTGGTATAGAGTTTATTCCAAGTTTTGACTTCTCTTTGCAGTACTGTTGTCCTGCATAGTTTGCCTTTATTCAGTACTTACGGCACTCACGGGATGAATATGGATGGTGACACTCTATTTTCTCAATCACGGATAATATGTTTTGATTATCCGAGTTTATTTTCTTCTTTCGTCTCGGGTGGGGCACATTATCAACAAGAGTCGGAGTCAGGCAGATTCATTTTGGTTGAAACCAGCCAAAACTACGACAACAAATAAAAATGGAAAAAGGGCAGAAAACGTATCACAAATAAAATGAAAACAACAACACAACAATTTCATATTAAACTCTATATTATAATTATTTATATATTTACACAATGTAGAAAAAACCTATGTATTATCACAAATTAACAAAATTATAGCAGGTACTAAGATATGACTAGAGTTTTATAAGTATACAATATTTTATTTCAGTTGTCGTACCTTTGGAATTGTATAAGTATCACCAAGTATGTCGTCACCGCTCCCAGTACCTTAAAAACAAACAATTGTGAACTTTATTCCAATCCTTTCATGCTCACACGGTTATTTGTATCCAGTTTAATTATTTTTTTGTCTTTCTGTCTGTCTGTCTATCCGTCTGTCTGTCTGTTCGTTCGCGTAAACTTCTAAACGGCTAGACCGATTTTGATAATATTTTACTAATAGGTAGCTGTGTATATATAAGGAGTAACTTTGGCTATTTTTCCTTTCAGAAAAACCCCATAAAATTTTACAACGTCCAGATACGTGAAGTTGCGGTTACCAGCTAGTTAACAATAATAATAATACCACAATAATAATAATATGTACCACATTCACACAACGCCATCGAGTCCCAACCTAAACATATATGTATACACTTTTTTTTTGTAAATACATACATATTATACATAGAAACACCCAGACAAATCAAACATTAAATGTTCTCGAACCCATGGCGGTTATCTTAAACTTCTTTTTTTTTTAAATACTCAAATAATCAAAAGTAAAATTTTATCGTTATTTTTGAGCTACTTACGTAAATTATTGTAACGAATAGGACATTATACAACCACAAACAAGTACTGAGTAAATTGTGTGATATTGGTATAAGTGTTCATACGTGTATGAATCTTTAAGACAATATTTAATTATATGTTTTTTAAAAGACAAGAAAGTTGTTCTAGTATTCTGTACTATAAAAAATAGATAATCTGTAAGCCTCCGTACCGTCATCTGTCGTAAAAGTTCGGAGTAACCAGACCATCTATTATCTTCCAAAGACATTTTTACTCCTAACGCATACGTGGTTTAAAAAAAAACAAACTACATGCCACACAGTATATGTAAACATGACCCATTTATACAGTCTAAACTTACTTCTAGCCTTATCCCCTAGCCCTATCTTCATATCTTACAGTTATCAGAGAAAGAATAAGAAAAAAAAAACAACATTGATTACAATCGCAACCTCGGTGCACCTACCCTACAAGATTTCTACACCACCTAAAGGTTGGCTGGTAGAGAATGCCCAGGGCATTAAGTCCGCCGATGTACATAAGTGAATGAAGATGTAAAATAAAAAAAAAACAGTGATAGAAGATACATGATACTCTTTCAACCTTAATTGCATTTCAGCTACTCTTTTCACTTAAGATAAAGGTTGGGTTAAAAAAAAAGTTAAAAACAAAAAGCAATTACAAAACAGCAATCATCATCATCAAGAGCCCTTAATAGTCTACTACTAGACAGAGACCCAAAAGAGATTTTGGCCACACCACGCTAGCCAAGGTTGGTTTAGGATCTGTTTCAAGTTTTCCCTCCCTTTGTCGGTTCTTACAACAACCACGGGATGAATAGAGCATGACACTCCGGATTCCTAATCTATCACCACACGGACAGTCATACCTCAGGCCTACCCATAAATGAGAAAGTGAGAAGCATTGTTTTCCTGCTTTAATGATTTAAAACCGAGTCTGCCGCAAGTAAATATTATTGGTTATACTTACAGAGGCCATCAGAGGTCTGCTTAATGTGCACATGCCCATCGGCGCGTAGCTGACTGACTGTAACAATAGTTGGCGGGAAAATATCTCAAGCCTCGAAGGTAGTACACCGGTGGAGGGTGCAGACGTCATCAACCTGCATATTAAGCCTTCCGTTCTCTTTCCCTGGAGGTGGAGGGAAATTATAAAAGTTGTTATAAAAGATCTGAAAATGGATGTGGGAGTATGGTGGACGAATTAAATTACCTACTAGTTTTTAGGTGAGTAAAAAACGAGCAGTGAGGAGATTTTCTCTCATGTTTTTTTTTTGACAATGTAAGTATCGTTAAATCCTTTGTCTTGTTCATTTTATTATCTGTAACCACTACTACGTGTACGGAAACTTACTTTTTTTTAAACAACTCCCGCATTAGGAACCTATCCTGTGTCGCGGGGGACTTTACAAACATACATGAAACGGTCACAAAGAACACACAAAGTCGACACTTTGTGTGAGGCTGATACTTCCAAATTGTATGTGTGTATGATGGTGAGTGCATACCTCAACAATGGTGTAATGTCCAGGTTCTACTACGACAAGCAATCGTAGCATGTGTATGACACACCACAAGAACTGAAGTACTAAGAAATGCACACGATTCGTTGACACAACTGTAACAATATTTTAAATATAATTATTCTGAGAAAGTCCCAATCTGAATAGACACGGGTTTTAGCACATAAATCTAACAGTTATAGTCTATCTGGATATTAATGTTCATCATCATCATCATCATCATCAACAATCTATAACAGTCCACTGCTGTCCATATTAATTTTCGTTTAATCAAAATTAGGTAAGGCAGAAATAATTTTTTACAAGAGATAAGTTAATAAATCAAAAATAATTTTACTGTCACAAGCGCGTGTTCATTATATTACTATGAGAAATTAATGAAAAAACTCAAAATGGAGAAAGTTGATCACTGTAACCTATACACACAGATAAAACTTTGATTCTAAAGTTTTATCTGTGTGTATATTACGCGGTATCTTCGCCATTTGATTAACTGCTTTTAATACTTCAATTGATTATTAGATTTGGTTGTACTAAGAATCGAAAATTAAGAGGGAAGAATTCTGCTTATTAAAATTTATCATGGAGTCAGCACATTGAAGACGGTGACACTTGAAACATAATATGCTTCGTCTTCCATACCATCACAGACAATCTTGTTCATCTTGGCCTCAATTATGCTATTTTAGTATTATATCAATGGACTGACAATAGACTGTCGTCGGAATAGTTTTGCACTTTTCGTATTCTACTAACTATGTAATACCAATGGTCTTCCGATGACTTGTCACTGAACTGCCACTGATACAAAGGTTGTCGATGTCTCTGCAGTAGTTTGCAAGATGGTACATTTTAAATTTGTACGGAAATGAGTTATTTAATTTCTCAGATATGGCAAAGTTGTTATCATCACCTTTGATGAGCCATTGCTACTACATCGATAGTCAATTGACATTGCTAATTTATGTTAGTAAAATACCAATATTTTGACCAATGTCAATGGCATCTCAATAGCGTGTTAATCAAATGACAGTCGCTTGTGCGTTAACATAAATACTCGTAGCAGAATTGAGGTCGGTCATAACACCAAAATCCCAGAATATAAATATTCGAAGACTCACTTATCTCCATGATCAAGAAGTATGGTGTGACAATGAGATGCAGCAACGTAGATATGACTATCACGATTAATGGGAGCGCATAGCTATCGTCGATACGTTTTACAACGTCACATAACGTCCCGTGAAGCAATGCCAGCCTACGAACAGCGTCACAAGGAGTTACTATGAGACGAGGCTCACCGTTGGCTGAAAATGGATGTTTTAATAATCAATGTTACGATGTTTTATATTACTATTATGTAATTGGGTACAATTGGTGCAGATAATAATAAGAGGAAAAACTATCATATTTTTGAAGTCGAAGTGATATAATCCTCTGATCAGATTTTGTAGTCAGGCTTTCTGACGTATCATCATTATCATCAACAGCCTTTACTAGTCCACTGCTGGACATAATATGCCTCTCCTCAGAAAGGAGGTTTTGGCCTACTATACCACGCAGGCCAGATGGGTTGGGATAGGGTTTGGGGTGCTGGCTAGAGGGGTGCTGGCTAGAAAACCTCCTCGTGGTGCACCCTGGAAACGCTGGCGATGGTACTGTTTCCTCCTTGTCCTCTTGGAGGAGAGGATTATCGCCAGCGGCCAATATTCTAGCAGAAGAGGCAGCCGTTCATCGGCTCTCGGGCAAGGCCTGGTCCAGCAGGGTGGGCGTGTCTGCCGGTTGCCCTGCTGGCTCTTCGCTCTTCGGAGCATGGAGGAGGAAACCTCGGTAAAAAACCTGATGGCGGGGCCCTGTAGGGGCCACAGTTTTCTCCGCTGACAGCGGTGGAGAAAGGAGGACGGGCTCGGCGTGTACTCACACTACCACCGAGCAGGCAGGGGGACGTAGTCTCCCTGTCAACCGTCGGCATATCGTAATCCCGAGAAGAGCGCTGTGGTTAAGTCTCGCGGCTCTGATCGGGGGCGAGGGTCTTGGCTTAACCGCCCGGACCGCGAGGAAGATAACCTCTCTAAAAAATTCCCCGAATCCCGTGTTCTGGTGCGTGGCCAGGGGATGCATGGCTGATGGGAAGTTCAGTCGCGAGCGCACTCCAAGCCGAGGTACCTGCGGACCCCTCGGTTGGGTTAAAAACATACGCTTGCCCGGGTAATGGGGGATCTCTGCCCGGGTGGACCTTTAGTTCTCCCCCACTCGTGGGATTATTATGGACAATATGAACAAAAATATTAAAAAAACGATCGGAAAACCAATCACAAAAGAAAAAGGCAAGCAAAACGGACTCTGAAAGGAAAGAGAAGAGGAGCAGTGGAGTAGATGGGTCATCCACGGAGGGTGAGATAGCGTCGGGAACGCCTATCTCGGTGGGGCTCCCAGAAGTCAGTCTGACGCTGGTCTCTGGGAGCCGAAGAGCATCGGATCGGCTGCGTTCCGGATCCGCCGCGTCGTCGGATGGCGCGGAGGCCATGGAAGCGGAACATCGCAGCGACAGCCGAAAACGCGGACGCTCAGGGGACGTGGAAACCGACACGTCCCAGGAGATGATGCCACCAAAGGTGGCAAGCAGCCGCCGAGGGAGGGCACGCAAACCGGCCTCGGCCTCGGTCTCGACCCCGTCAGGCTCCGCGTTCTCAAACGCGGAGTCATACAGGAATGTACGAGTGGACGGCGAGGCCGTAGCGGAGGAGGAGATCGCGGATCTCCTGCTCAAGGTTCGGGAGCCGGTGGGGGGAAATGCCCCCCAGGCTCCCGTGTCCGTGCAGGAGAGGGCGAAAGCGGCGGTGGCCGTCATCCACAAGGTGGCCACCAAGTCCGTGAACCTTAAGGGCTCGTTTGTGAGGGCCCTTAAGGACTCCTCCTCCGCTTTGTCGGAGGTCGTTGAGGGCCTGGTGGGCGATGTGTCTCGCCTGCAGGTGGCCAACGAGAGGCTGACGGAGCGGGTGAACGAGCTGAGCGCTCAGTTCGCCCGCTTCCAGGCGAACCTCCCCGAGCGGGAAGCCCGGTCCGCGTCCCAGCCTGCCCCTACCACCAACTCAGGGGCATTTGACTCCCAACTGCGAGAAATCCTCATCGCAGTTGGGAATATGCTTGACGGACGCCTGGCTGGCCTGGAGGCGAGACTGTACCCTGCGCCGGTTGTGCGCCCCCCGCTCGCGTCGACACAGCGGCCTAAGGCCGCCGCTCCGACCGCGCTCCCCGTAGTGGGAGGCCGCGTCTCCTACGCGGCGGCGGCGTCTGCCCCGACTCCATCGGCTCCCCAAAAGCCGAGGAGGGGGGCCAAGGCACCGGCCCAGGCGCCGGCCAAGGCACCGTCCCAGGCGCCGGCCAAGGCGCAGGCCAAAGTGCCGGCCAAGACGGGGCCTAAAACGGCGCCGAGGAGCGGAGTGGCATTCCCTCCGCTCCCCACTCCGACACCCCTGCCGGGCCCCTCCGCACCTGCCCCCTCCAACGAGGGCTGGCAGGAGGCGAGGGGCTCCAAGAAGTCCCGAAGGCGGGCCAGAAGGGCTGCCCAAAAATCAGCCCAAGCCCAGCCTTCGCCACCGGTGGCAACGGCCTCTGCAAAGAGGCCGCGGAAGCTGCAGCCGCCCAAAACTGCGGCTGTAGTGGTGACCGTGTCCCCGGAGGCGGCTGACGGCGGGTTGTCCTACGCGGCCGTTTTTAAAAAGGCCCGGGACAGCCTCGCCAACGACTTTGGGACGGTGGGGGTCAAGATGCGCCTCGCCCAAACGGGAGCTCGAGTTCTCGAGTTCCCAGGGGCTGAAGGCGCCAAGACGGCGGACACTTTCGCTGAGAGGCTGCGGGGTTTATTCGCGGCCACAGATGGTGTCAAGATCGCCAGGCCTACCAAGTGCGCGGAGCTGCGCATCTCGGGCCTGGACGACTCTGTGACGGCCGAAGATGTCCGCGCTGTAATCCGGGAGAAGACGGGGTGCAGCGCGGACAACGTCAGGGTCGGCACCATCCGCCCCGGTCCAGGGGGGCTTCGCGCCGTGTGGGTCAGCTGTCCCGTAGCGTCGGCCAAAGTATTGGCCGACGCCGGCAGGCTGCTCATCGGTTTCGTGAGCGCTAGGATCACAGTCCTGGCGGCGAGACCGATGAGGTGTTACAAATGCCTAGCATCGGGGCACACGCGCGTCAAGTGCCAAAGCTGCTTCGACTGCAGCGGACTATGTTTCCGCTGTGGTCGACCGGGGCATGTGGCGGTGGAATGCTCTGCCGCCCCTCACTGCCCGGTGTGTGCGGCGGGTAACAAGCCCGCCAATCATCAGATGGGGCAGGGGGGCTGCAAGCCTCCCCGCAACTCTCAGCAAGCATCGGGGGCTAGCCAGTCGACCCAGGCTGCCTCCGATGTAGTTCGTGCGTCGACGTCGTCGCCCATGGAGGAGGCTGTAGAGACGATCCAGTAATGGATCGGGTCTCCAGCCTCCTGGTCCAGACGAACCTGAACCACTGTGCCGCGGCGCAGGATCTCTTCCTGCAAACCATGGCACAGTGGTCGATAGGTGTTGCCGTAGTCGCGGAGCCCTATTCTGTCCCTCCCCGTCCAAACTGGATGGGTGACTGGGACGGCTCCGTGGCAGTCGTCGGTTCCACGACGGCTCATTCCCCGCCCTTGTCGCTAAGAGACAAGGGCACTGGATATGTTGCCGTCGAGTGGGGGGGGATCACCATATATGGTGTCTATTTCTCCCCCAACCGGAGTTTGAACGACTTCGAGGTTTTCCTAACCAGCTTGGAGACCTCGATACGGCGACTAGCGTCTGGGCACGTCCTTGTGCTGGGGGACTTCAACGCAAAGTCCATTGCGTGGGGTTCCCCCAGGACGGACGCAAGGGGCGAGGCCGTAGAGGAGTGGGCGGCCTCGGTGGGCCTCTGTCTCCTCAACAGAGGCTCCACCAACACGTGCGTGCGACAGCAGGGGGGGTCGATAGTGGACCTTTCGTTCGCTACCCCTGCCCTCGCCGCACGAGTAAGGAACTGGCGTGTCCTGGAAGAGGTTGAGACGCTCTCGGATCATCTCTATATCCGATTTGAGCTCTCCCGGACCCAGGACTCCAGTAGGGGTCACGTGGCGCGGCGTTTATCCCGCTTTCCGCGGTGGGCTGTTGCCAGACTGAACCGGGACCTACTAGAGGAGGCAGCCATAATTCACTCGTGGCTGTCTCCTCAGGCTCCGACCGAGGAGGTCGATGTGGGGGCTGGCCGCTTTCGCGATGCGATTACGCATATCTGCGATGCGGCCATGCCCCGCATTCGAGGTCGTCGGCCTCCAAGGAAGGAGGTCTACTGGTGGTCCCAGGAGCTGGCGGACCTCCGTGCGGCCTGTACACGTGCCCGGAGGTCCTACACACGCAGTCGGCGGCGTCACCGTGGAGACGGTGAGGAGGACCGGCTTCATGAGGAGTACCGACGGGCGCGGAAAACTCTGAAGCTGGCCATTAGCCGCGCCAAAGAGGAAAAAAGACAGGAGATGCTGGAGGGTCTTAATCGTGACCCCTGGGGTCGCCCTTACCGCGCGGTGCGACAAAAGCTCCGCGCGTCGGGCCCCCCCCTTACGGAGACTCTCCGGCCCAGCTTCCTGCGAGAAGTGGTTGAGGGCCTTTTCCCACAACGAGCGGAACACACTCCCCCGTCGATGGCCTCCCTGGCCGGAGACGACGGGGAGCACGGGGAGGACAATGTTCCGCCCGTCCGGGATTCGGAGGTAGGGGCGGCTGTTCTACGGATCCGTTCCAAGAACACCGCCCCTGGGCCAGACGGGGTACCGGCCCGAGTGCTGGCCCTGGCCCTCAACCACATGGCAGACCGCCTCAGGGAGGTGTTCGACGCTAGCTTGGCGTCGGGACGCTTCCCTGAGTGCTGGAAGAGCGGGAAGCTGGTCCTATTGAGGAAGCCGGGACGGCCTGCCGATTCGGTCGCGGCCTATAGGCCCATCGTGCTGCTGGACGAGGCGGGCAAATTGTTTGAGAGGGTTCTTTCTGCCCGCATCGTCCGGCACCTCTGCGAGGTGGGCCCCGATCTGTCGGACGCCCAATTTGGTTTTCGGGCGGGGCGTTCGACAGTCGACGCCGTGTTGCGCCTGAGGGCCGTGACCGAAGAGGCAGTGAGCTGTGGCGGCGTGCTGTTGGCGGTGTCATTAGACATCGCCAACGCATTCAATAGTCTGCCATTCAGCTGCATCAGGGAAGCACTCCACTATCATGGGGTGCCAAAGTACCTGAGGCGGCTAGTGGCAGACTACTTAGAGGAGCGTACCGTCGTGTACGAGGACCGAGAAGGTAATTTGAGGAGTCGGCCCATGTCGTGCGGTGTTCCACAGGGGTCTGTTCTTGGACCCCTCTTGTGGAACATAGGGTACGACTGGGCCCTTCGCGCCGATTTCCCCCCCGGGCTGGGTGTAATCTGTTACGCAGACGATACCCTCGTGACAGCCCGGGGGGCAAACTTCCAAGAGGCGGCGCGCCTGGCCACAGGGGGAGTCTCCCTGGTGGTCGGGCGCATTGAGGCGCTGGGCTTACGGGTGGCCCTAGATAAGACGGAGGCCCTGTTATTCCATGGGCCCCGTCGTGTTCCACCCCCTGGCGCCTCAATCGTGGTCAACTCGGTCCTCGTACCGGTTCGGGCCCAGATGAAATATCTGGGCCTGATCCTCGACGGGAGGTGGCTCTTCGACGAGCACTTCCGACAGCTTGCTCCAAAGCTGGTCGGCGCTGCGTCTGCCCTAGGGCGACTCTTGCCCAATATGGGTGGACCCAGCGTCGCGACAAGACGGCTGTACACGGGGGTTGTCCGGTCAATGGCGCTGTACGGTGCACCGGTGTGGGCGGCGGCTCTGACCGCCCAGAATAGGGTACGCCTCTGGCGCCCTCAGAGGGTAATGGCGGTCAGAGCCATACGCGGTTACCGCACCGTTTCTACGGAGGTGGCATGCGCGTTGGCCGGAACTCCCCCGTGGGATTTGGAGGCGGAAGTGCTCGCCGAAGTTTATCGGCGAGTGGCTGACTTCCGGGCGGAGAGCGGATTTCGCCCTCCGCCCGAGGATGTGCGCGAGTGGCGCGAAGCCGCTCGCCGAGCCACGATGGCTTGTTGGTCGTTCCGGCTGGAGACTCCACGCGCTGGCTTCGCCGCCGTGGAGGCTCTCCAGCCGGTCATCGCCGAGTGGGCAGGGCGGCAGCACGGGACCCTTTCCTTCCGACTGACGCAGGTGCTTTCCGGGCACGGTTGCTTCGGAAGGTACCTGCACACGGTCGCTAGGAGGGAACTGAGTCCCGCCTGCCACCACTGCGACTGCAGTGAGGACTCGGCCCAGCACACGCTGGCGGTCTGCCCCGCATGGGCGGCGCAGCGCCGGGCCCTCACTGCAGTCATCGGAGTGGATCTCTCGCTACCGGCCGTAGTACGCTCCATGGCCGGTAGCGACAGTTGTTTTACCGCGGTCGCAACCTTCTGCGAGGTAGTAATCTCGCGGAAGGAGGCGGCGGAGAGGGCCCGGGAGGACGACCTCCACTCGGACCCGATCCGCCGCCGGCGAACCGGGCGGCGGAGGCCCGCCTACCACAGCCTCATGCCGTCCTGAGTGTGGCCGCGGGTGGACAGGGTGGGTTTCCCCTCCACCCGCATTAGTTTGGCCAGCCGCGAGGGGGCGGCGTCCGCGTGTGCCGGACGTCGCCTAAAGAGAGGAAAAATATTGAGACGGAGCCCGCACCAGGAGCGGGCTGGCGCTAGGAGGGGTCCGGATGTCTTAACAACAGCTGTTCCCGGATCCCTCCTGTTACAGGCGCAGAGTGGCACACCGTGTGGTTTTAGTCGGTCCAAGTCCGACACACCACCCCGCCGTAAACCCCGGAGGGGTGACGGTCCGAGGGGATTTCCACACGTTAAAAAAAAAAAAAAAAAAGGGTTTGTTTCAAGTTTTCCTTCTCTTTGCAGTGGTGTTGTACTGCGTAGTTTCCTTAGTCGGCTCTTACACCTTCGGGGTGAATAGGGGTGGTGACACTCTGTACTCATAATCCGTCACCACACGGGTAATTTTTAATTAATAAGCATGATAAATTTTGATGGAGTGATGCTTGGTAATTATACAGGTTTTTGGTTTTATCAAAATAGAAATAATAGTAACAATAATACACAGTTTTACAATATGGTTTTAGTTTTGTAAAGTAGGATCTATAAAGACCTCTGATATTCGTCTGCCTATTAATAGTATACTGGAAACATCATCACATCACATCACATCAACAGCCTTTCATAGTCCACTGCTGGACATAGGCCTCTCCTTAGAAAGGAGGTTTACTGGTTTGAGTATACTGGCATATTATGATACTTCAAGGACCAATTTGTATTTTTCATATAAATTTTATTTACTATCATCAAAAAAACGACTATCACAAATACTGTTCCGATGTTTTACATATATAAATTTGAAGAAATTAAGGTAATTAAAATTGATATTTTTATATACTTGAAGCAGAAAATAACACTCAACCATTGGAGATATTATATAGTTGTCTCACAAGAAATCTCCAGTTATTATACGTTTACAATTCTACTTACACAGACGTAGAAACAGTCGATTTCATACCTGTTCTTTTAATGATGACGATATGTTCTGTCATCATCGAGTCCATAAGCAGACTGACGTTAGCTGACCGCTGAGCATCGACCGGAGTTACTCTGATAGCGTAAATGTTTAACGGCGATGCGTTCTTTGGTTTCTCTACTGAAATAAAGAAATAAAACTTTCAAAAAAACACTTTAAAAACTTAAAAAAAAAGAATAGTAAAAGATGCTTTGAATAGGTGCATAAACTAAAACTAAAAGCTAAAACATAAGAAATAATCATGACAATACTTCAATGTGAAATACAAAATGTGATTTACTTACGGGGTATTGACACATTTCTCGCTGTGAGCGCAAGAGCATCGTTGACAGCCGAAAAGCGGGCACGCACAGATAGTGCAGTGAATGCAAATTGTAGCCCCAGAATCATTACTATATACCAGAGGAGGTAAAAACCCACGTAGTTTGCCACAACCTCCCCTACAAATAAGAAAGAAGAATTAGCATAGCTCATAGCAGGAATTATCAGACCTCTCGTGCGTGAATATCCGAAGACGCTTGGCTGTCAGGTGGTCTGTAAATGGTTGCTTTATCTTTCAAAGATTCTCCTCTGGTTAGCATCTACTTTGGCATTCCCAACAGCGTTCCAACTTAGGGATACCGTTTTTATACAAGAAATCCTCAATTTCCTTTCTAAATACATGTGTTAGAAGCGGTTAATGGCGACATCAAGTGCTTTGAGAGATCCTCGTTAGACATACATCACGATTACGCCTCTCGACGACAGATCTAGATCCTGCTTTTACCAACTGTATACTGTCCTACCCACTGGACCTTTTTTTGACGGGATAAAAAATCCTTTGAGTTCCGGCTCCTTGGGGAGTCAGAAACCAGAAGCATGTGGTAATTCCTCTAAAAACCACTACGACACGGCCAGCGCCCTTCTCTACAAAGTACCTGGACCATAGGAAAGTAACGAAACGGTTTTTTTGCAGAAAACAATGTATAATGTTTTTTATTGTTGTTAGATCCTATGATATCAACATTCTCAAAATCTTACTCACACTCTCTATTCAGTTGTTTGGCCTGAAGTATGTAGAAGGTGAAGTCATCAGCAACAAGTATGGAGAAGAATATCAGTATTGCGAGAATTATGACGCAGAGCTTGCGTTCTGATACCACGGAATATTGACCACCTATACTGTTGTCTACCTGGAATATAAAAACAAATAGATTATATTCTCTAATACGGTTGTATTAAGCAAGCAAGATATGCTCGACAAGGCCGGAGCGGGACCTGAAGAGACTTAGAACTCTCCCGGTTACACAGACCTTGGAAAGAACCAGGTACTGCAGGCAGCTCAGGTGCCGGAGATCGCTAAATGATCTCCGTCCTGCATAAGTGCAGGCGTATTGGTAACAGATGAGACCCGCTCGTTAAAAAGGCGCAAAGTAACAAGAAGTAAAAATGGAGAAAAAATCGTTCGCCGTCTATCTGTAAATTAAAATTAGTAAATATCAAAAATTGGAATTTAAAGGCATGATAATAGTCTTTGACGCCTAGTAATAAAAATATAAATATTTTTAAGTTATTTAATTTAAAATGTCAAAAAAACGTTTCATTTTAGTATGAAAAAATGTAAAAAATATTATTTTCTTAATTTAATAGACTCAAATAGCCAGATGCGCCTTTTAAATTTCAAACGCTTTTTGGAGTACTTTTAGTCTAAGTATTTGTGTGTAAATCTGTACTTTATGTTTTAAGAAAAAAAGGTGCATTTGATTAAATGCACCTCTTTACTTCAGTATTCAAAACTATGAAGAAGGCTACCTAAGAAACAAAATACATATAATTTTCTATGAATTGTTTCATCTGGCTCATTAACCTGAAAATAAATTATCCTAATGTTTATTTTCCGTTTAAAGCCTCTTATGATTATACGAGTACTATGCAATAAAATAGATAAATTAAAAAAAATCGTAAGGAATATTTTATTAATTTAAATGCGACTATTCATTTAAGTTTTAGATGAATTCGTCTTTTCAACTTTAATTAGGTGTAAAAAGTATGCATAAGCGCCTTATTTTGTAGTGCTAGAATTGCAATGAAGCAAGGCAGAAAAATATTGAAAATTTGAAAAATATTGAACAGGCAGATGCGCTATTTTTGCTGATTCCGGCGATAAATATAACTCAAATTAGAAAAAAATGTTAGATGCGCCTTTTCAACTATCGAGGGCAGATCTGTCACCAAAGAAATGAAAGGTGCGGACGTCTTAATAAAAGCATTTTTTTTTTTTTTTTATTGGGACTAATCCCACCCACACGCCCACCACTGTAACTCTTGTACACCAGGATCCACAGCAGTGACCCACGAACACACTGAGTTATGACACTCGGGAAGTCCCAGGAAGAAATTAAACTGTCTTGGAACCGGCAACGAAATTAATCAGAAGAAAATTGGAGGAGTTGGAAATACAGTAAATCCACTTGAATGAACTGAATTGAAATTAATAAAAGCTGTTATCGGATCCCTCCTATATCAAGCGCAGTTTACACACCGTGTGGTTTTAGTCGATTGGATTCCAATTCACCGAAACACCGCAAACCACGGCGAAGTGACAGCCCTTGGGGTTTCCACACGTAAAAACAAAAGTTGTAAAGAAATGAGGCTGAGGCTGAGTGAGGCTGCCGGAAGCCCCAGCCTAACTTAACACAAGGGGAGGGGGATGTAACTTCCAGAGGCAGGAAAGCACTCGGCAATAGGATCCCCGGTTTCTATTAGTGTTATATGTAAAAGTGTCTGTAAATGTAAAAGAGTATGATCTTTTGAGTGGTTAAGACTGAGTAACAAAGGAAGAAATGAAAGCGTTACTTACCGAAGCTACACTCTCCATGAACTTCAACATATGCCTCATGCGTCTGGGTGCGCCGTACACTCCCGCGCCGGCCGTCAGCACCACCACCAACACATCGCATGCTGACACCACCTGTGACGTTTTCGATGACATACGCACTGACAGCTCCACGCCCACATTTATTTCAGCGACGAGACCAAATATTGTACATATCACTGAAAATTCGAGTTGTGTTGGGTTAGATAATTTCCTCGCGGTGTTATTGTCTGAACACCACATTTTTTCGGGATAAAAAGAAACCTACGTGTTAATTCAGTCAGCTATCTCCATACCCATTTTTATCAAAATTAGTCCAGCTGTTCTAGCGTGAAGAAGTTACAAATATACAAACACACACACACTCACAAACTTTCACCTTTATAATATTAGTGTAATGTTTAAGTTAAAGTCCTCTAGAATCTGCGGCAGTGGTTTCGTAACAAAGGATGAAGATGTGTTACAGGAAACAGCACCAATGAGCGTATGCTGCTCGAGTTGGCCGTCACATAGTACATCAGGGGGCCTAGTGCGAGCGAATTGAATTCTATTCCACTCAATTCGGTTAAATTTGAAGCGTTTTCCGATAGGACACAGATGCACCGACTCTACCGAAGTGATACTGCCCTTACAGAAAACCGGTGTTAAGCAATTCTTTCGTTTATAGCGAGTGACTGAGATTACCGGAACCCCAAACGCGCCTTCCGCGTAAATCTGGGAGGGATGAGACTTAAAAGTCGGCTACGCACTTGTAACTCTTGAGTTGCAGGTTTCTAGGGGAGGTGGTAGCCACTTACCATCCGGTGACCCATCTGCTCGTTTGTCCTTAAAATACTTCTCTTTGCTAATTACATTTTTTTTTTATATATCTAGGTTTAATATTTTATTCTCTCTCTCTCTATCTCGCTCTCTCTGTCTAATTTATCAAGTCTGCTTACCGAGTGCAGTTACAAGTATGTAACTGTAAACACACATCGCGACGGAAATTGACACCGTGGAACCATTACTGTGGGACTCAAACCGCAGCGGCGCCAGTCCGAACAAACTTGATATCTGAAACATATTGAGCATCATGGAGATTATTTTCGCTGATGATGAGCTGATGACGATACTAACCTTAAAAGTTAAAATATCTTAATATAGTTTGGTATCTAGAACACCATGTCCGTGTGGTGATGGATTAAGAATACGAAGTGTCGCTACCCCAATTAATCCCGCGGATGTCGTAAAAGCCGACTAAGGAAGCAAACTACCAGGACAACAGCACTGCTGAGAGAAGGAAACCTTGATACAATACCTGTACCTACCCGTCGGGCTAGCGTGGTCTAGTAGGCCAAAACTTCCTTTCTTAGGAGATGCCTATGTCCAGCAGTAGTTTCCGAAAGAAATATTGCTGCTAGAATTGGCTGTTAAATGATAGGTGAGGTGTCACAAATCATACAAAAATGATTGGTTTTTTTCGTCTGAGTAAATGCTTAGTTAAGTATTTGACTGAAAGAATTGTCTTTGTTTATATCCAAAATAACAAAAACAAAGAGTGACGGAAGTCCAAATTGTTAGAGAACCATTGGGTAAAGACAGCGTCAAACCTGTTTTCTTTGGCCACCTCACATCAACAGCCCTTAATAGTCCACTGCTGGACATAAGCCTCTCCTTAGAAAGGAGGTTTGGCCACCTATGTGACTGATATATACTGTTTTTCTAATCATCCTCATCTTCCCTTTTCCCAAGCTAGGTTGGAGTTGGCTTGCATTCTACTATGATACGATACGTTGACATCAGACCTCCACACCCTAAGTACTACGCGATATCGAAGTTATGTATACTGTAATCGGACTCTTTAACGTTTGCCAACGATGTTCATAACGCAAACAAGTACGACAGCTCAACGTGCTCTCCGGAGCTCGGAGGGGTCTCAATGTGTTAAGAATGGGTGACCCATCCGTAGACTGACCAACTCTGTTACGACTTAGGCACGAGCACATCAATCAATTTCCAATATTAATTGTTAATTTTTATTTATGACATGTGATGTTGATCGAATATTTATGATAGGTACACAATAGGAAATAAAAAACATGTTTTTTTCTATTCATCTTATCAGTGATTATTTTATCAGCTACATGTTTACATGCACAATAAATATTTTTTATGTAGGTCATGCATCTAACGCCTACATGTCACAATACAAAACAACATAAAATGGGACAACTTTTGTACACATAAATCTATGATCGACTTGTACTGTAACTTTATTTTATAAGGCGAAATGTGTCTTACTGTAATGGGAGTGGACACTGTTTTCTGTAACACAGGTTCACCTGGCACAGAAACTTTTTTTTTAATACAACTTATGCACTAGGAATAATTCTTGTGTTGCGGAGGACTTTACAGGCATACATGAAACGAACACAAAGAACCAGACTCAGAACTACAATTTGTGGATCACACAAATTGTTATCCCATGTGGGGATCGAACCCACAACACTCAGCGCGGTAGAAAACGGCGAGGTAACCGCTTAAACAAGAGTTACACCGAGTTAAACTGTTATTACAAGAGAAACTGAAACTAATAATGCAGAACGATTAACAGTAATAATGAATGGTTAACAATGCTAATGTATGAATGAAGAAACGAGTTATTTACAATTGTTATTTATATTTACACACATGTAAACCTAATTAGGTATTTCGTTTGTTGAGTATCTATTGACGCCTTTTTCGTTTTTTCGACACTAACACACACTTGAAAATGGCTTAAAGAATCTCACCCTAAGTATGAAGGCATGTGCTCCGCCAACCACACAGTGTGTGGCGTGAACTGACTGTTGGTCCGATTGGGTCGCGGTCGGTACGGCCGCCGTTGTTCCTCCCTCCACTTTTGTTGACGACTCCAAGCCTGAAGGTAACGAATAATAAGAAATAATGAAAATAATTACAATTAACTATCCTAGGGCGTTTTTGAGTGCTTGGAAACCCACTCGCGCTGTCATCCTATTATATATATCATTCTATCCTGAAGGCTCCGTCCAACACATCCGGCACTCGACGGCCGGGATGGCCTACTATGTATTCATTAACGAGCCCGTGCGGATACGCATTGACAGTATCCGTAAGAAATCAAAATATGAACATGTTCCTCGTTCATATAGTTCATCATCGTCAACAGTGTCAGAAGCGATGGAGCGCTGTGTCGGCATCGAACCGACTAAAACTACACGGTGTGTCATACTGCGCCTGAAGACAATAATTGCTTATTAAACTTCGTTATGATAAGGGTTCAAAGTACCTGAATGACCGAGCTTAGCTCGGTATTTTTTTGTTTTGGTAAATTTTCTAAAAATGAAACCTAGCTAGATCGATTATATTCGCCCCCGAAACCCACTGCATAGTAAATTTCATGAAACTCGTTGGAGCCGTTTCCGAGATCCAGATAATATACATATATATTTACAGGAATTGCTCGTTTAAAGGTATTAAGATAACATAAATTTATCTAAAACTATCTGATATTTATCACATTTTTATTTCTTCTCAATCACATTTTTATTGTCAATTCTCATTACTTTTTCTTTTCTTTTCTGTATGCAGATAAACAAAACTATCATATGTGATCATATAATAGCATCACAAACTGCATGGGAGCTAGTTTTAAACAAACTGTTATATTTAAACTGTCCACGAATTGTGACACGTTTTAGGCGTAGGATACGTGAACTTTACAAGAAGCAACTGCCACAAATATATGCACAAACATCATTATAATTATAATCTATAAACATGAAATTATTTGCCCTGACTGACAGAGTCATAAACGCACAGGCTAAACCGCTGTGGTATGATATTTTTATCTTTTACCTTTTTGTCGTAATTGGTGCACTTTCGGAATACACAGGAAGGCATTTTATAAATTTTCTTATAACCTTATTAGGACCCTTACGTTTTGTGCTCTAGTAGCATATCTTCTTCATAATTCTATGTAACATCATTGGGGTAACCTCTTTAATATTTAAAAAATAAATCTTTCCATTAACAAATTAATCAAAATATGCCGCAGTGGCCACTGACGCCACCGACGCGATATCGATACCGGTAAACAAGTTATTATCCCATAAAAACACTCATAAAACAGACTATGAAAATACTCGATACAAGTAGTATTCAACTCAATAACAACTCCTATCTATCATTGTTTACAACCGTTAGTTATAGAACTTTTTTAATTACACATGGATAACACTCCAAGTACCGCCAAAGATAAATTATTACATTTTATATTCAATAAACACCATAATACGTTATTGTTTATTCCTTGACGAATATATCGTTGCTATGCCCATGCTATGCTATGCTATAATCAAGATTAATTCTGGATTAAATTCAGATAAACAAAAGTCACTTAGGGAATTAAAGAACAATATAATCCTACACCGTTTCGCCGACGTGGAGCTTTCTGAGACCTACTGGTAATGTGAGTATTCCTCCACATGAGCAAAAAAGCAAATGTGGGCAACTAAACATTTTCTCCCGGCAGCCATTACACATTCAGAAAACCTGCTACCTGGACTCCGACTGCAATGGCCATCATGGAAATCATTGAATTTCTTACGTACGCAGAGTGATCGTTTGCAAGAGCAATATGGCAAATTATGTATGAATGTTACGTTCCATTGCAAACTACTTCTTGTCCTCTGTGCCCCTCCAGCTGCACCATAGAGAAGCTGCGGAGAGCAACGGACAATTTCGGGTCTGTATCGGAATTTTGGGCAGACAAGGTTTAGGAAGTTTACCCGTTGATTGGACGAAAAAGAAGACTGTTTAGCCGTTTACAGGCTACTATTGTTATTTAAATATCTATAACCATTAAGTTATCAAATAGTAGATTACGGTGTGCCTGCCTAAAAAACCGACTAAGTGAAAAGCCTCCCAAGGCAAAATCCAACAAACGGTGTAAACTACAAAGCAAAGAAATATGATCAGCATCAACAGTTTTAACAACCTTTAAGTAGTAGTCCACTGATGGAAATAGGCCCCTCCTTGGAAAGGAGGTTTTAGCCCACTATACCACGCTGGCCAGACGGGTTGGTATAGGGTTTGAGTCAAGTTTTCCTACTCTTTGTAGTGCTGCTGACCTGCGTAGTGTGCTTAGTCGGCTCTTGCAACACCAATGGGATGAATGGAAATGGTGACACTCTGTATTCTTAATCCGTCACTACACGGTGTATGAGAAAAATATATACATACATATACACGAAAAATATAACCCCCTTTTTGGCTCAGTCGGGTAAAACAAGGAGTTATCAAAGAAGAGTAACAAAAGACATATCTCAAGCGGACCGAGTGTAATTCGTAGCAAAAAGCAGGCTTTGTTTCATTACAATTGGATAACAGAAAAAAATGGCGTCACTTTAGAGCTCTCATTAGAAGTATATAGCGTAGGTATATTATTCAGATTTCTTAGTAGCGCAAGATAGTACTAAATTCTACGCAGACCTGTTTTTTTGTTTTGTTGACTTGGTGGAAAATCCCTTCGGAACTCCTACTCCTCAGGAGCCAGGAGTAGTGCCAGGAGTGTGGTGATTCCACTATAAAACCACCCAACAGCCGGCCTCAGGTGTCCTACTCTGGGAGGACCCGAACCATGTTATTTCAGGTCCTCCAGAACACTACTGACACTACTCCTAATCGACGGGCACGATATATAACATAGCGCCTTAACATATTACTCTAGCAACTATAAAATTTGCTGATATCAGCACTTATTTAAGTATTTATCTAAGGATTATCCGTTTATAGGTATTCAGGTTTCTTTCTCTAAGTCGTTTAGTAATCATGATCATACTAGTTAAGACTCTCATGTTGAATAAACCCAAAGGCGACAAGGACTTAGAGCGGTTCCTTATCAAGACAGGTTTTCTCTTCATCTACGTACCCATAGGTAATTATGTGGAAATATATTCTTTCTTCAAATTTATACGGTACCAAACGAAAAAGTATTTTACATATCACAACAAACATAAAAAGAAATATGCGAATCGAGATATATCCTTCTATAATTTGATAATTACTAAATGAAAGAATTAAGGCTATCAGTGTTCGTAAAAATAGAAAAGATAAGAGAGAGAAATGGGTTAAGTTTTTTTTAAAGGCGACTCCCGCACTAGTAACACATCTCGTGTCTCGGGAGACTTTACATACATACATGAAATGGACCCAAAGACACCCAGACTCAGAACAACAAGTTGTTGATCACGTGTCCCATTGTCCCATGTGGGGATCGAACCTTATCACTCGGCGGGAATCAGCAAGGTGACCGCTTAAACTTGAAAATTGGGTGCAGTAGTATGAGAAAGTTGAGGTTGGATAAAGGATTTTATACTTACGACAAGTTCTGCCTAATGTGAAAGCTGAAACAGAGCGAGTATACTCCTTCGTCAAGGTATAGTGATCATACATTATCTTGATTTAAAAAAATCACAAAAGTTCTGACAATCTCTTTACAACTGTAGTAGCACACGGGATTTAAGAGCAATATAGATAGTAATAAATGAAATAGACATTTGCCTGTAATTGATATAGTATATTAGTTTGACAAATCTCACACACGGCCGTCTGATCCCAAATTAATCAAAGCCCAAAGTGACCTAGCCTGCTGATATACATACTTATATATTTCTAAATACCTACATAATACAGATAAATTACACCCAGATACCACGAATGTTAGTGATTCGACTTGTAGGAGTTTAACTAAGAACTAAACAAACTGTCAGTAATTACAGTAATTACTAATATTAATTTCACTTAATTTTTAGTTCTTTCGACAGTTGTTATGACGTTACGGTCTTAAACTTTTAGTTTTTAAATAAAATAAAAACGTTTTTTTTTCGTTTCGTTTTTTCGTTTAAAAAGACAACACAACAATTAGGAATATATCCTGTGTCGCGGGGGACTTTACAAACAAACATAAAACAACTATAACATTATGATATTTGTTATAGTTACTAATTCTAAATGCTTATTTTATTCAGTTCGACTTATCGCAAGGAATTAATAAAAGTCTAAAATCTTATTTACACATTATAAACCAGTCATTATTTGAAAGAAACTATGTAACATTTAATTTAAATTAAAAAATAGGTGAGAATAAATTAACTAAATGCCAAACATTTACCGATGAGCACATTGACATTAATAAAAGTCTGTCTGTCTGACATATAAGTTTATACCTTACACCGAAGTACGCAGTACAGAAATCAAAATACCACTTTCGTATTCGTCACTGGACGTACAAAAATATACCTAAATCAAATATTATGACTGTTAACTACGCACAATACTACGTTCTAGTTAATATTTTATATGAATGACTTTTTATGTCAATCACTGGGAAAAAATATAGATTATAATAACAGTTATGGAGCCCTCGCAACACATATTGTAAGGCAACTTCGGGACTTTTAAGTTCTAAGACTTTAAATTCGAAATTTAAAAGTATAAAACAAATCAAACTATTCATTTTATATAAAATCTGTCTCATTAACGAGCAATGTATGCTCCTTTTTTTTTCCCCCGTAGCAATGTATCCACCTTTTTCTTTTTTACAACATACAAACAGAACAGAACTTCGTATTGAACCCTAAACCGACGTACAGTTTTAAAAATACGCAGACTGACAAACATCAGACATGGTAAACCGTGTTTTTTGTAAACAAACTGGAAAAAGAGTGACATTCGGGCCCGTTATGAAAACACAAATGGGTACTGTACTTACTACTCCTAAGCATGTAAACACGCTTTCAGGATTGAAAATATAGTTTATTAGATTTACGTAAGATTGTTTGTAAACAAGAAATTAAAATTCGATTACATTTTTAACTAAAATTGAAAATGTTTACC